GGAGGTTTATTGTGCCAACATGGCCAATGAACACATGTGGGATTAATTGAAGGGCGGAGAGTTAAATGGCTCGGCGATCCTCGCCTTTCTTATTTCTTCCTCTGATCATCAGACCAGGGTGCGACTGCCTTGCTTGCAAGTTTGCAAGCTACACTACCTGTGGGACACCTAACCCATGGACTGTGTTGCTGTAATTTGAGGTTCCTTCAAGACCTGCTTCACCACACTATTGGAACTTACATCTCTTGAGCTGGGGACTGTCGGACCCTGTCATCTGGCTAACTTGGTGACCTGCCTTGCTGTTTGCTGCCTGTGCCCAGATAGTCTGAATTGCTCTACAAAGGACTACCAGTGTCTCACAGCTGTCTCACAGGAGTGAGTTGCACTGAGCCATTTATACTGCTTTATAGATTAATTAACTGTTTATTTCTTATGTTATATATTTATATAAATATAGATATATAATTATTAGCGTTCTGGTTTTGTTTCTTTAGAGAACCCTGTCTAACATAAGTGAAGATTGATAGATCTTTCTCTGTTTCCTCACCCCCAAATTAGTTTATGGTCATGCACAGTTCTTGAAGTTCTGCTCGCTAGAAAAGTTTTCCTTCGCCACTACTTTCAGGACTATCCCTGAGAGCAATGGTAATGCAATAGCTGACTCTTGTTGCATTTAATCCTAGAGTAGCCGGTGCAAAAGGAAGAAATGATGAAGTAAAAGGGCTGAACAGAAAATTTCTATGTGCAAAGACCTGGAATTAGAAAGACGAAATGGAAAACACTCAGCATAACTTAAAATGAAACCTTACCTTGTAATATTGAAAGATTCTTTAAGCAAAATACTGACTTATACCAGATGCATCAAAAGAACATACAGAGTCATTGTACCAGAAAGTTGGCATTCAGCCATTTCAAGAAGTAGCACAGGAGCAAGAACCAGTGGCACTGACGGGAGAAGTCCAGTTGCACTGAAGGCATTAGCCAAAAACAAGGCTCCAGGAATTGACAGAACACCAATTATAATGCTTCAACAGGTTGATAAGGACTGGAATCACTGCCTCGTCTATACCAGGGAATTTGGAAGACAGCTGCCTACCCAGCTGACTGAAAGAGGTCTGTATTTGTACTCAATGAGGACATATTAAAAAATGATTTGGGGGCTCCTAATAAATGCACAAAGGACATGCTGCTCCACTGTCAGCCTCAACCCGAAGCCACTCAGCATCAGCTCTTTGGGTCAACAAGCCCCTCTCCCTAAATTAAGTTCCCAGAGGCACCCCACTGCAATATGCCTGTCTCCTGCCCCAAGTCGCTCAGCTTTATGCTCTGAGGGCTGGGAAGTCCTCTGTTGTGGCTCCTGGGACAGCTGCTGCTGCTCCCCTGTCACTCTTCTGGCGTCAGAGCTTCCTCCTGCATCAAGGCGGTTCCCTGTGCAGGGATTTCATGGTCCAGAAGATGCACTCCACTGCTGACTCTTGCACGTAGTGCGATTCCCCCTCCTGAGATGGCTGACTTTACACCCAGAGGGAGGGCAGGTGGGGCTGCATGTGCGCTACTTGTTCAGTCACTTCCTTTCACTCCCCTTCAAACCACTACTGCCAGCGCACATTCTCTTTCAGACCACGACTGCAGCGCAC